AGCCCTGCAGGTAGAGCCCCTGATCCACCAGCGCTCGTCACAGCAGGCCCCTGTCAAAGGCACAGTGGGAAGGATGCTGCTGGTCCATTAGTCTTCCAGTGGTGGAGTTAGTGGGGGGGGGCGGGGCGCGGTACACTGTGCAGCGGGGAGAGAAAGAGGGAAGGAAGTGGAATTCTTCCCTCCCTGCACAAATGCCTGAAAGGTTTGGCTTTCCTGAGAGGGACACACCATCCCTGTTCCCAGAGGCAGATGCAGGGTGGGGCCGTGCAGAGAACCCTGAACTCAGCATCCAGCTGATCTGCCTCTTACCAGTTGCGTGATCGTGGGCAAGGTGCTGTTCTGCACGTCTCAGTTGCCTTGTCTGTTAAATGGGAACAATTAGCCAGACTCTGTCAGCCTCTATTAGGGCATGCTCTGCAGAAAGTAAGCTCTACAGAGGCTGTCAGGGCTGTGCATCTCCTTCCACCCTGGAGTCAAGGGTTTGATCCTTCACTTGGTAACCAGTGGGGGGACCTCAGATGAGGAGTTCTGAAGTCTGTCCCCAGGACCTGGAGACACCAGCACAGGAGACTTACTCTCTTTCCACACTTTCTGTCCTTCCTTCACCCCTGCTGCTGTTTGGGTGGGACCGAGTGTTTCAGCCCTAGAGGAATAACTGACTCCGTCCCTCCCTGGGGAATGGAGGGTCCTGTGCACTAGACTGGCTCCCATAAGGGGAGACAAGTGTGGGCACACCCAATAACGCTCCCCACCTGGGCTCCCCGATTGCCATGAGGCCGGCTAGTGTAGTGGGTGGGAACATGAGCTCTGGCCCTAGGCATCCGATCCTGGGCTCGCAGTTACTCGCAGTCCTTTCACATCTCCGGGCGTCAGTTTTCTCATCCATAAAACAAGAATAACAACAATACTTAGACTTCATAGGGTCAGAGTCCCGATTAAATGAGATGATATATGCAAAGAATTTGGACCTGTACCTGATATTTAGTAAGCATGCGGTGAATGTCAGGAATATTATCCCTCAACCCTGGGCTCCCTCATGCTCCTTCTCCCAGGGTCCTAACAGTCCCCTCTAGAAATTCATTTCTACCACTATACTCCCCCTGGCCATCACCCCACCTGGCTCCTCCTCTGAAATCTCAACCCCGCAATAACTCTCTTACCCCCTGAACCTGCCCTTTGACTTCTCTGAAACCTGTGACCATCTCCACCAAGGCTATGGCCATCTTCCCAGCCTCACTCCCTCCCAGTCCGGCCCAATCCTTTGGTGCATCATCTCAGCCACCTTTGCCAGCATCTTCTGTGCCACCTGGCCCTGCTCTCATGGAAACTCTGTTATCCCCAGCCTTGGGTGGGCCCAACGTCACATCTGTGACTCTATACCTACAGCTGGAAAAAACCCACACCACCATGCAGGCTGATAACAACTCAGACCCTGGTCTGCAGCCTCAGCAGAGCCTTCAGGCCATTGACCTGCCTGTCCCTGGTCACATCTCCTCTCCTCTCCTCTGCCACCGAGCCCTTATTTCTCAGCAAATGACCTTGCCCTCCATACGCCTGGCGGCACGGAGCCCGTAGAGCATGAACCAACTCTCTTTCCTTCAAGTATCTCTATCTGCTTTTTCCTCATGGCCTCTCCTCCAGGGTCCAGGGGAGGGGGTCCTTCTTCTAGATCCCATCTCTCCACTCTTCAGGAACCTCGCGTCGTCAATCACCTCTCTCTTTGTTGCCTAGGCATCTCCATCACCAGGGTCCCCAGGGGTCTACAAATGGCCAAGCCAGCAGACACTGCCATCCTTACTGAACCTGATCTCTCCGCCGCATTTGACCTGCCCTCCTCCAAGCTTGCTCCTCCCAGATGTTTCTCCCCCTTTTCTAGTTTTCCTCCCACCTCCTGGGATCTTCTTTTCAAAACCCTCTTCTGTCCTCTTCCCACCTGTTAAATGCCGTAGTGCCCAGAGCTCTGCTATCTCTGAGTTGGGTAAGCAGGAGTCTAAAGCAAACACTGCTCCTGCCTGCTGAACAATCCTCTCACCAGGGCCCTCCTTTCTAAGCCGCTGCTTGGGCTAGGCCTTCACCACCCCTGCCTGGACTATCTCAAGAGCCTCCTGTAGGGTCTCCCGGCTCCCAGTCCTGCCTGCTCTAGCTCATTTCCCACAATGCATTTGAGTGTTAGTTTTAAAATATGAACTGACCACATCACATCTCTGCTTAAAATTTTTCAGGGCCTTTAGGATAAAACTTAAATTCCTAGAGCAGGTCCCTGCCTGCCTCTCTCCACATCACGCTCTCACACCCTTCTGCCGTGCCAAACATACCATGTCTCATCCATCCACTTCCCAAATGTCTAGCATGGTGCCCGATTCATAAAAGAGGCACATTCATTCATGAAGGAGCCTAGTCATCCTCTACCACTTAGTTCCCTCCAAACAAGCAAGTGAGAGCTCACTGAATGAATGAATGAATGGTCTGCGTTACCGACTCTTAGAAGGTTTCCAGAAACCCCCTCTGTCCCTTGTCATGACCCTTGTCCAGGCGTCTTCATCTCTCACCGGCACTCCTGCAAAGGTCCCCTCTCCCGAATGCCAGGCTCAGCGGGGCCCCTTCAGACCCTCCTCTCACCCTGCACCAGCCTGATCTACCATCATGGAAATCTGACCACGCCCCTCTCTGGCTCCAAACCCTATGATGTATATGCTACAGCAGAGGGGAAGCTTGAAAACACGATGCCCAGGGAAAGAAGCCAGTCCCAGAGGACCACATGTTGTCTGATTCCATGTATATGAAATGTCCAGAAGAGGCAAATCCATAGAGACAGAAAGAAGATTAGTGGTTGCCAGGGGCTGGGAGGGACCAGGGGAGAGGGCGATGATAGAAAAAAGATACAGGGTTTCTTTTGGAGGTGAGAAAAATGTTCTAAAATTGACTATGGTTATGGTTGCACTTTTCTGTGAATATACTAAAAGTCATTGAATTGTACACTTTAGATAGGTGAATTGTAAATGTGAATTATATCTCAAAGCTCTAAAAAAAACAACAAGCCTGGGATGGCTTCCCATCCCCCACCAGGGAGACACTCAGCTGCCGCTTAATTACTCCCACCTGCCGTGTAACAGCGCTTACTATGCTCTGGGTGTCGTTCCTCAGACTTTGTGTGGCTCGTTACATTTTGCCCTCACACAGCTCTATAATGTAGAGGTTATGGTGACACCCATTTTGCAGATGGGAATGCTGAGGAGAAGTGAGGTTTGAGTGACTTGGCTGAGGCCATACAACACCTGTGGTTTTGTCTAGCATGGGCGCTTCCTGCAATGTGTTGTAAGAATCTGTTTACAAGTTTCTCCCCACTGGACTGGAGCCTCCTGGAAATTGGCAATGGTGTCTAGTTTAGTGCGGTATTCCCTGCCTAGACCCAGTGACCATCAGACCTGACTTGAGAACCTCAGAAGGATGTAGAAATGCACTAGGGGTGGGGTCAGTGGTCTCACAGTCTTGGGCCCAGGTTTCCTTTGAGAAAGGTAGCCCCTACGCAGCCTGCACCCTGCCACCCCACCAGGAGAAGGATTCCAGCGACTGTTTTCTCCTGGGCCCTTGTGTGTTTCCCTCCCCAAAGCCTGTCTCCCCTCCTGGGGCTTCTCTCTGTAACCAAGAGATTGGCCCTGCCCAGAGCCACGGGCTGCACCCCTGGGGCCTGGCTCTGCCCCCAGGGCTCCCAAGTGCAGCAGGCAGCACAGGACCTCCTCGAAGGCCCCACCCCGCGTCCTGCCCAGCCCTGGCTCTTGCGCTCATGCCAACTCCCTCAGACTTAGAAACGCTGCCGGTGTCCCTTGACATCCTGGTAGGTGGTGCTGGATTTGATGGGGGTTGGGAAGACTTCCCTGGCTGGAGACAGGGCCTCAGTGAAGTAGATGGAGATATATGAGGAAATAGGGGCTTCTCAGAGGACAGCCTGGGGGCTGCAGAAGTGACCACAACACCTGGGGGCTCGGTGACAGATGACTCAGCAGTGGAGTCACTCCAGAGGGAAGCAGACAGCATCTCTCCACCCCATCCTCAGTCCTGGGGCTGGTAATTTACTCCCCCTGCTCCTAACCTCATTCTGAAAGTCATTGCCTGCCCGGTCTCTCTCTCTCCTTCCGGGACCTCAAAAGTCACTTGCCAACCTCTACTGACATTTTCTGTGGATCCTCTGTAAATAGCTCTATCCAAATGGCTTGGTTTGGGGACAATCTAAGATGATTTACTCAAAACTCCACAGTACAAGAGTGTGAGAAGCAAAGACTAGCCCCGTGCGCCTCCTTGGCAGAGCCAACCATGGCCTCCGACACTCATTTTTCACCCGTGACCCAGATTCCCTTCTCCTGAATACAGATGCTGAAACCAGCGCAACTGCGAGTCCCAGAGGGCCCCAGTGAGAACCCCCCTCCCAAGGAGCAGCCTGCAAACTCTCCACTCCTCATGCACCCCTTGGGGGAGCCAGGCCCAGGGGCCCTCAGTGCATGGGAGGGAAGCCACTGTCAGCCCTTGGAAACCAGAGCTCGCAAAGGCTGTTAGAATGCCCGGGTGGCCCCAGGGAAGGAGGGGCTGGCTCCCCTCCTGAGAACACGGGGCTGGCTCGCCGCCTGAAAACACCTGGCTGCAACCTCTGCTGATACACAGCCCTGCTCAGGAATGACTCCTTGGGAAAACCCCCCCACCAAAAGGCAAGACCCTCAACTTGGCTGTCTTTCTGCAGTCAGAATGTAGCTCCAGGCGGCTCCCTGGGGTCCCCTCCCCAGCAGAGATGTGTGCAAAATCAAGCTGTGATGGCCAGGAGCAGAGACGACAGGAGGTCTCCTGGCCCCTGGCCCCCTCTCCAAGGGGGAGTAGTAGGCCAGCTGGGAAAGGGAGTCTTCCCCAAACCCTGGCACCCAGCTCTCTTTTCTCTACACCCCAGGCAGGGCGTCCAGTGCCTGCCAACCCCTGGGCCTGCCCCTGCCCCTGGAACCAAGTGCAACACTTACCATGATAGAAAAGATGAGGGGGATGAGGTTGAGGGGCCAGACGGGGCAGAAGCAGGAAGCGATGGCAAGGATGAGGTAATCTTTGGGGATTTCTTGGTCCTGGGCATACGAGGTGGTGGCAACAGAGGAGGCCCGCCTCGAGCTGGCCCGAGAGGGCGACAGGGGGAGTGTGGCCTCCTGGTGCCCCTCGGATATCACCTTGAAGGGCAGGCCGTGGCCATTCTGATCCAAGTCCAGAGCCCCTGAAAGGGACTTGGACAGCTTCAGGGACTTGTCAGCCTTGTCGTCCACCTTGGTGAGGAGCTTCTCCATCTCCGGCAGGTCCAGGGGTGAGGCAGTGCCTGGCTCCCGTGCAGGAGGAAACTGAGGCTGCACAGGGTTGGCCATGTTGGCCTGAGCCTTGGGCTGCTCCAGCTCCAGGCCGGGACGAAGGTCTCCAGAGGGACCTCAGCGCACCATTCCTCAGCCCAGACTGAGGACCTACAGGTCAGGGGCAGAAGTGTCAGCCAGGGGAGCAAGGGCCAGCTTCTCCAGGCCAGCTGAGTTCAGAGGCTGGGGCCTGCCTGCTGCCCCCGTGGAGCTCCAGGAAGCTGGAGCCTTCAGCCCCGTTCAAGTTTGAGGCCAACTTTGCTGGTGCTGCTGACAGCACACATGGGCGGGGAAGCAACAGAAAGCAGCTCCAAGAGCAGAGAGAAGAATGCTTCTCTCCCAAGTGAGGCTTAGGCTAAGTCTGGGAGGCTCTGTGTGTGTGTGTGTGTGTGTGTGTGTGTGTATGCCACACAGCCTCCCTCCCTCCCGCCCTCCTCAAAGATGCTTTTCCTTTTCAATTCCCCTCTCCCCAGAGAACCACCCAGCCGCGCTCTGCCTCTGCCCCAGCCCAGCCTAGCCCAGCCCAGCCCATAGGGACTCGGGGCTGTCTCTGGTTTCCATTGCGGCCCCAGCACCTGCTCCTCTGGGCTGGGGGCTCTGTATGGGGAAAAAGGCAAAGTGGGCCACAAAGGGTGTGTCTTCAACTGTCCTGGGAAACAGCCCTCTGCTTCTCTTCTACCTGACCAGCTCGTGCTTCCTCCCATCTGATGGGAAATGCTGGGCCCTGGACCTACGGCATCCCACCTGGACCCTGACTTCCCGCCCCCATAGGGGGCCAGAGCCTGGCTCCAGGAGGGAAGGGGAGGTGTGAGCACCAGCATGGCCCCTGGAGGATCCTGCTTGGACCATAGGGCCCTCTGAATGGGTTTCTGAGCAGCTCACCAAGGGGTGGGGCAGAGTAGGTGGAAGGAAGGAAGTGTTGGCCCCATCTCATGCCCATTAGAGCTTTTCTGCTGTGCTAAAGAGCTGGCAAAGATCCCTCCTGTTCGAGAGCTCCTCCGGGCAGCTGCCGGCTCTGAAGGGCCTTGCTGCTGGCTGCCTGTTCTCTGATTCTCGCTCTGTCTTTGTTCTCTTATGTCTCCTCCCTCTGTTTCTGCCTCCTTCTCTTCTTTACATCTCTTTCTTTCTATGTCCCCGATCTCTTTCCTCACATTGTTTTATAAGGGTGACCTGGAACCACCAGAGTGTGTGTGTGTGTGTGTGTGTGTGTGTGTTTGGTTTGGAGGAGGGTGTTGGAAGGAGTTTGAAACCCTAGAGTCATGCATGACAGGGGTTGGGGGTGGAGGGGTGGGGGGGGTGGAGGTAGAGGTGGGAAGGGGTCTCGGAGGTCGTGGAGTCCAAATCCTTTGATGTCACAGATTAGAAAACCGAGGCCCAGAAGTGGAGAGACACGTCCCAAACTGTATCCCAACCAGACCTCAATCCCTGGTCCAGGATCCGGGTCTCGTTTGAAGCAAAATGAGCCACTTCAGGGGAAAGAAATGGCTTTGGTTTGTGTATCCAACTGGCTTTGGAAATGCTGCTTCCAGCAAGGGCAGCGCCTGGGTGTGGAGGGAGCGGGGCAGACAGAGAACGAGGAAATGGCCACGGCTGAAGGAAGGAGACGGAAGGAGAGCAGCGAGAGCCAGGGGCTGGGGCCGAGGGGGAGCCTGGGGAGCCGGAAGGACGCCTGGAGGCAAATAAGTTTCAAAAAAGTGTGTGGCTTTGGGGCAAATTTTCAGGTTTGATCAATTTGACTATTTTAAAGTAAGAATTTTTGCTCCATAAAGGAAACCCAGGGCAGTAAGATGAGGCTCCCTGCGCTCAGCTCAGTCCTCGGGGCGGGTCTTGCCCACCCGAGGCCAGGGTAGGGTGGGGGTAGTGAGCTGAGCTCCCCTGCCTAGGAACTTCCAGAAATGTGCTAATGCCTTGTTAAATATGAGACCTCCTGCAGAGGGTGGCAAGTCGGGTCCCTGAGACCCCTAGACTCTAAGCCAGTGCCCGGCTTGGACAGAATTCCAATACACCATGGGAGCTGACCCTCCCGGGAGGAACTCAGGCCTTCCACAGGGCCTACAGCTGCCCAGCCCAATTCCGTAGCCTTTAGCCAAATGTGGCTACTGAGCAGCTGAGATGTGGCTAGTCCAACTGAGATGTGCTGTGAGTATAAAACACACCAAATTTCAAACATTTAGTACAAAAAAAGGAATGTAAACTATCTCATGAATATGTTGAACATTGATTACATGCGGAAATGATAATATTTTATATGTATTGGGCTGAATAAAACATTATTAAAATTAATGTCACCTGTGTCTTTTTACTTTTTTTTCTTTTTTTTTTTTGCTGAGGAAGATTCGCCCTGAGGTAACATCTGTGCCAATCTTCCTCTATTTTGTATGTGGATTGCTGCCACAGCATGGCTAACAAGTGGTGTAGGTCCACGCCTGGGCTGCCAAAGTGGAGTGTGCTGAACTTAACCACAAGGCCACAGGGCCAGCCCCTCTTTTTACTTTTTTTAAATGTGCTAACTAGAAAATCAAAAATTAAGAAGGTAGCTTGCATTATATTTCTATTGGGTGGCATTGGCCTAAAGGACAGAAGGAACTCGACATAAAGGGACCTTTTTGACTTAATAAAAACTCAAAGAGAAAAGAAAAAGAAGACCCCAGGGTGGCCCATGGCAGTGAGGTTACCAGGTGGGCTGGGGTCAGGGACTTGGGGAGCCAGGTTGGCTCTGCCACTGCGAGATGCTGGGCTCACAGTGCCATCTAGTGGCTGGTGGTGGTGAGAATGATCAGAAGTGGGAGAGGGGACCAGGGGAAGCAGGGAGAGGAGGGGAGAAGGAGCATCCGGTTTGGGCTCCAGGGCAGGTGACCCAGTTGCCACCTCCTCACTCGAGGTCTTAAATGGAGGCACGTGGGCTATAATTCATCACACAAAGTGGGTTTGGCCTACACAGTGTTGACTTAACATGTGTTTTTTAAAAATCCATTTCACATAAAAATTGGGGTTTCAGATTTTTAACATGAAGATCTGGGAGCCCTGGGCTCATTTTCTGTAGAGCAGCAAGCAGCTGGGCCAGCCGCAGCCTTTGGGGGGGCCGGGGGGGGTCGCTGAGCTCCTCCTCCACCTCCACCATCCCACAGCCTGCCTGCCTCGGTCTGGGCTGTGAGGCCCTGCAGCCAGACAGATGGATCGGCCTTTCTGTTCCGCAGCTGGCTGGCCTTGCTGCTCTCTGGTGTGGACACAGAGAACTGAAGAAGGTCATTCCCCCTCTCTTTCCACCTTCCCCGCTGGGCTGTGAGGTCCTGGAGGGAACGGGTGTACCCCCAGCTCCCTAGCCCAGTGCCTGGCTGGCAGTTAAAGCTGGCTGGGTGAACCAGAGGAAGATGAAGCACCAACCAAGCGCCCAGAGTGTGTCCACGCCGACACTAATTCCACCTCTGCCCGCCCCCAACCTTACTGTTTCCTGAGTGTGAAGGACGCTGAGATGTAAACAGTGGAGGGGAAAGTGGACCTGCGTACTGCGGGGTGTCCTTTAGGGGGTGGGGTGGGCAGGGAAGCAAGGGTAGGTAAGTTGGAGCCTAATCCAAGGGGAAGAGGTAACGAGCCCCTTGTGCCCACAGCTCTTTTACCCTTGGGGTCAGGGTGTCAGGAAACCCAAAGGGGGCCGACAGGGCAGGAGTAATTAAGCAAATTCCTCTTCTCACCGAGGCCTTCCTGGGCCCAGCCCACCGTGCCCCAGGGGTAACAGCAGCCTTCAGGTGTCTGCACACACACACACGTGCAAAGTGTGAGCAAAACTTGACGCGATCGTGCACCCATCAGCAAGCACCCCAGTTTTACATCCGGGGGGGGTGTCCCTCCAAAGGCATCCACTCGAGATGCTTGGTCCTTGCTGTTCTTGCTCAAAACATTTCGCTGCTCCTCTCTGAAGGTATCCTAAGGAGACAACTCTTTCCCCTCTTCAAAACAATTATGGGGCCGGCCCTGTGGCTTGGTGGTTAAGTGCGCGCGCTGCGATGCTGGCGGCCCGGGTTCGGATCCCGGGTGCGCATCGAGGCACCACTTCTCTGTCCATCCTGAGGCCGAGTCCCACATACAGCAACTAGAAGGGTGTGCAGCTGTGACATACAACTATCTACTGGGGCTTTGGGGGCAAAAAATAAAAAATAAATAAATAAAAAAACTTTAAAAAAAAAAAAAAACAATTATGAAGAACCTAATGGATATTAACAAGTTTATGTCCCTCCAAATTCTCTCGAGGTCTGTTCAGGCACCCATATGTTTGTCTACAATTAGAATCAGTGGGCACAGACCATCCATCTGCTCTTCTAACTCACCATTATTTTCATCCTGTTGGAATGCCAGAGTTGGCTTTGCCACGTAGTTGGGCATTTGTGCTGTTTCAAATCTTTCACTGTTAACGTGCAGTGCTGCTGGGACCGCCTTTTTGCAAATTTGTTTTTCCTTTTGGATTCCTCCTTTGAAGTATTTTTATTATGATTTTGCCAAATTGTTCTCTACCAAAAAAGGAACAGATACATAGTACAACTAGAAATCTGTCAATGTGCCCTTGTCTCCACATCCCTGACAACACTAGGTCTTACAGTCGCTATTTATTTTAGCTGGTATGTCTCATTCAGTGCTAAAGAGGTGAGGTCCTGTTCCCTGGTGGAGGCAGGGAGAATAAGGGAAGGAGTTGGAAGGCACAGGCTTCCTAAGAGAAGCCAAGAGACTGAGTGTATGAGGGCCCTCAGTGAGAGTGCCATGACTGTTATTACTCCCTGCCCTTTAAAAGTTAACTCTATCTCTCCCTTGAACACATTTGAGTGGACTGTTGGTACTAACCTTATGGATGTATAATTTCTGTCTTTATGTCTATCAGTTCTTCACATCTTTTGGCCATAACTTTTAGCAGCTCTGTCTTACACATGCCTTTTCTCTTTCTAGTACTTTCCTTTTTATATTCATTTAATACCTATATTTGTAAAAACTACTTTTCTCTATATTTAGACAAACCTATTTGGTCTCAGTTGATACCTTCCATTTCTTTAATTATCACAGATTTATCTTCTCTCCACTGCAAATCAGTCATCTTAGAGAATAGATATGGACTTAGGAAGCAGATAAAAAAAAATCAAGCAAGGGGTTCCAGAAAACCTGGAAGGCACATAATTAAAAGTATTCTGGCCTAGGATCCCCTGAAGAATCAAGGAGAGGAGGAGGTCCTGTTAGGTCAATACATACATGTACACACCCACAAATATTCACACATCCACACATCTATATAAGCCTTGCACGTAATGGGTGCATGTCAAAAAACCTCAGAGTGCTGGGCAAATACACATCATTGTGCAGATATACAGATGTGTGCACTCAAACAAATAGCCCTAATGACAATAACATGTTGTAGACTTTAGTTTATAAAACACCTTCCCTTGCATTCTCTCCTTCTGACAACCTTGTGACTAGAACATGTCTTTTTTTTTTTTTTTAAAGATTTTATTTATTTATTTTTTCCCCCCAAAGCCCCAGTAGATAGTTGTATGTCATAGCTGCACATCCTTCTAGTTGCTGTATGTGGGACTCGGCCTCAGGATGGACGGAGAAGTGGTGCCTCGGTGCGCGCCCGGGATCTGAACCCGGGCCACCAGCATCAGAGCGCGCGCACTTAACCACCAAGCCACGGGGCCGGCCCTAGAACATGTCTTAATAGCTTCCACTCAGGGAGAGCTTATGTGGGCCGGGCACTATGCTAAGTGCTTTAAATGCTTCATCTAGCCCATGATATACTTATTTTTACCCATTATAAGGATGGGAACACCGCTAGGCGATTTGCCAAGATCACCAAGGTAAGTGGGTGAGGAGACAAATAATTTTACACCCCTCCAGCTGACCTCACAGTCCCTGCACACTCACGTTTCCACCTGCAGGGGGCACCCTCGCCATGGCCGGGCTGGGAGTGCAACTGGGCAAGAAGATCTCTCCTTTCTTTCCCTCCTGGAACTTAGGAAAGCAGGACTTGCTGGTCATTTTATAATGTTTCCAGAGAATAAAAACCTGAGGCTGAAGCAAGGTGGAAGCATTGTCCAGGCTGGTCTGTCATAAAATTATAATAATATGGAAAAAGTAACAATTTGTGGAACACCTTCTAATTGCCAGCAACTGTACATTATGAACGAGTGTTAACCCTCACAGCCACCCTGAGGTGGCCTCGTCTGTGTCAGAGGTGAGGAGCTACAGGCTTCGAGAAGGTAAGTGACACCATGGGTCACACATGTAGTAAGTGGCAGACAGAGATGGGATCCCAGGCTGGTCCGGCTCTTTCCTTTCCACTGTCAGACCGTGGCACCGCCTCTCCATGCTCAGGGGGCAGGCCTGGGGCCAGAGTCCCACGTTTGGCTCCTGGCTGGACCCCATGACGCCTCAGCACCAGAGTCAAAGCCTTCTTGTGACCTGTGCTACAGCCACCTGCCTTGTGAAATTGGGAGCCCTAAGGCCTGTGGGCTGGGGACAGGATGCCAAGTGTGCCAGCCAGTGTCTTGCTTGCAGAAAGCAAAGACATCTTTAAGTATGGTGGTGAGCCTCACCTCAACTGTTCTGGGGACCCCTCACTCCTCCTGGGTGTCACCTATGGGTGTCTCTCCAGCTTCTGTGGGGTCCCCCATTCTGAGCTGTGTAACTCTCCCCCTCAGCTGGCAAGAGCGCAGCTCTCCAAGGAGATCAGGGAGCCCTCAGCTCTCCCCCGGCACATCTGGGTCCTCACCCCAGCAAGCAGCATCTGCAACATCAGGCCGGTCAGCCGGAGTGAGGCTAGACACTAGCTCAGGCATGCTCATCTTAGATGCAGAGCAGCTCTCCAGACTTCTCTGGGGGCTGGCTGTGCCTCCCACTTACTCAGCAGCCGTGGCCCAAGGCCTGCTTTCCTCAGCCCTCTCCTCATAATCTTTCCTGGATTCCAAGTTTCCCCACTTCACAGAGGCCCTGGCTGCACTGGCCCACTCCTCCCTAGGAGCTCCATCTGCCCATCACTCGGGGTGCAGGCAAGACTTACTGACCCCCAGTCTTGGGTCCTGCCGCAGCTTCCTTCTCTGAGACTAGCTCAGACTCTGCTCTCATCACCACCCTCCCTGTGGCTCACTGCAGACAGCAGCTCTGCAGGAGTCTACACATGAGGCTGACCACATCCTCAGTCTCCCAGCTCAGCCCCTCCTCTCCAAATAATGTCCCCTCCCACAGTGCCCCTCACAGTGCTCAGCCACACCTGGGGTCTTGCCATGAACCGATGCCCCCAAGTACCCACCTGTGGGCTCCAGGCCTGGGCCCAGCATTTCAGGGTGAGCCCCAGGCCCCAGCCCCAAAGGCCTTCCTGCCACCCTGGGCCAGTGGGCCTAGTGGGGTCCTTGGAGCAGAGAGAGATGATAGCTTTTCCTTTTTATTTAGCTGTTTCTGATTGCCCCTCGCAGATCACAGAATTGCGGCATCAGCATAGGCAGGGAAGGGACCCCACACTGAGCCATCAGACGGCACTAGGTGCCACCCACAGTCCCATATACAAGTCTCCCTGTCCAAAAGCCCCCATTCTCCTAAAAAGCAGCAAGAGAAAATAGGACTCAGAGGCACAGGAATGCAAAGGTCACTCTCCAAGAAGAGTTCAGCAAGTCCAAACCTAAGAAAGCCCCGGGGGATCCTGCTCCTTTCTGGGAGCTGCCACCCTTGGCTGGGATGGGGAAGGTCACGGGGTGCAGCCCAGGCTCCAGAGTTCCATCCTACTGGCAAGGCTGCCTCCTTTCTCCCTCAGGCCTCAGCCCACTCAGTTTTGCTCAGTCAGGGACGTTTTTTGCAGTCTTCCCTTTTGTAGGCATCCTGCCATTGGCTCTTCTCGGGCCAGCCTCCCTGCAGGCCCGCGGGTGCGCTCGGTGGCCGAGTCAGGAGTGCTGGTAGCCCAGCCGGGGACCCGCTCACAAGTGGTCCCGCGGCCAGGCAGAGGGAGCCCCCGGACACCGGCGCCAGTTTCCCGCGAAGGCCTGGGCCAAGCCCTGCGCCTCGGCCACCGCCCTGGGCCGTCCCAGGAGCGTGTGCGGGGAGCACGAGGCGCAGCGCGGCGCAAAGGGACCGGCGGCGTCCCAGCGCGCGAG